TGTTACAAATAAAGTCCAGTTGTTTTTGTATTGAACGCTTTTTGAATATATTATTAGTGCTTAGTGTATTACTTAGTTGATGATTTTCTTAGTTCATAGCTTAGATCTTATTACAGTTTTTCATTTACATTTTATTGTTGGACGTAACTGGGACCCTGTGTACATAATTCCGTTCCACCACATGTACCACATGTGGTGTGTATAATGAATAAATCTCTCTAACTCTGGCTCTCTGATTCTGATTTTGCAAAGTTTGGACAATTTACAGTGACGTTACCACCAATGCCATGTTTGGTGTCGGCGGAAAAAAAAACCGCTCACACCGTTCAAAAAAAAAAAAACTGTTAATACTTTTTATGCATCATTTTGTTAAGAGGTTTTGGTCCAAATTTGATGTTGATATGCTTAAATTTGAAGATGAAATAGTGTTTGGTGTGACTTGTGAAATTTGCCAAAAATTGCCAATTCATTAAAATGTTTGACTTCCAGTAGGTTTTACACTATATTGCCAAGAGACATTTTATTAGGTCATGCACTAATGGTCCTATGTACCAATGTTTGTACATGTTTATTAAAGTAGTTGGAGAGGTTGATATTTAGAGGGTGCTAGCAAGCTAAATTGCAACGCCCACAAGTGGATTTTTGCATTTCCCCAAGAACAACTGCCAAGTTTAGTGATGATCTGTCCTCTAGAACATAGTAAAACTAAATCTGGCAGAAGACAAATAAAAGCAATGTTAATAAATATATTCCATTTAAATATATTAGGGACTTCTGCTGCTTCACAGTGCTTGGGGCCTTATTAACTGTTCTGTGATCTTACAAATCAAAATTCAAATTTGTTTTTGAAAACCATGGACCTCACAACTTCTTTAAAAAGAGGGGAGTTAAACCACTACCAGAAATGGTAACAAAACTGAACAAAGTATATTCAAACATCAAGTGCAGTTCTTGATATTGCACCGACAGTACACTGTGTTATATTAAGAACTGCATGGATAGTGGGAAAATATGCATCTATCCCAATCAAAAGGCCTAGATGAGACAAGGGATGTCCAGAATCTGGTAAAGGAGAGGAACATCACTTCCAGGTCTGGGGGCAAGGCCCTCTTTAGCATGATATGGGGCAATCTAAAAAGGGTCATTAGAACGGCCAAGAGGCACTGCAAGAGGAAGATCAAGGAGCATCTGTATAGTAATAACAGCAGACAGGTTTTGCATGGAGTCGAGCAATTCACCATCTACAGGATCAGTTATGGAGCTGCTGAAAGTGACGTGTCACTGGAAAATGAACTCAATTCAATTCAGTTTATTTATATAGCACCCAGTCACAACAGAAGTCATCTCAGGACACTGAACACAAACATTCATATATAAAAATGATAATTTAACACTATTTATCTGATAGGGCAGCACGGTGGCACAAGTGGTAGAGCTGCTGCCTCTCAGCAAGCAGGTCCCTGGTTCAAACCCCGGTCCAGGGGGATTTCTGGGTGGAGTTTGCATGTTCTCTCCGTGCATGCGTGGGTTTTCTCCGGGTACTCCGGTTTCCTCCCACAGACTAAAAACATGCATGTTAGGCTGATTGGTAACTCTAAATTGTCCCTAGGTGTGAGTGAGAGAGTGAATGGTTGTTTGTCTCTGTGTGTCCTTGTGATGGACTGGAGACCTGTCCAGGGTGTCCTCCGCCTCTCACACAGTGATTGCTGAACATGGGCACCAGTGATCCCCACGACCCAAAAAGGAAGAAGCGGGTAAAGATAATGGATGGATGGATATATTTATCTGATAATTTAATAATAATTGAACACTATTTCTATTCAGAACTGAATCACTTCTTTGCCTGTTTATAGTTAGAGCAGAGTGGCAGTCATTCCACACACCGCAGCTCACAACAGCATCACCTCCATCTTCACAGTGGAGAAGAATCAGGGGAGATGCTCACTGCAGGCTGCCACACAGCACAGTAGCAGTTGACAGGGGTTTTCACTGAACTCTTCAACCTGTCTATTTCAGGACATAATTCCAATCCTGCTTCGAGTCCTTCACCTCCATCCCTACTAAAAATTAAAAATATTAAAAATAAATGATGACCTGCCTAAATGACTACCATCCAGTAGCACAAATCCCAGTGTTAATGAAGTGTTTTGGTGTGTCTGAATGTATATTTTCTCATTCATCCCTCCTACCTTCAACACAGACCAGTTTGCTTACAGAGCTAACAGGTCTACAGTGCTGCTGCCCTTCACGCTGCTCTGGCCCATCTGGAGCACCAGAGGAGCTATGCATGTCTTCTTTTCATTAACTTTTCATTAACTTTCTTGTAAATGAGTCCTCGGGGCTCATTGGGATTTACCTGTTTAAATAAAGGTTGCATGAACTTTAGTTTTGTTTTTATCACCATCCTCCCCGATAGACAGGTGTGTAAGCTGTCAGTCCCACCGTTCACCTGTCTCTGGAATAAAGACTTCCTCATGGGCCACACACAAATGCCACTTTTGCACTACTCCTGCTCAGCCCAAACTCTGCTCAGCTCTGCTCAGATCAGCCTGATATCCACTGCACTTCAGGACGAGTTCTGGAGGCGTGTCCAGAATCCAAAATCCTTCTAATGAACTTATAATGAACTTTAGTTCATCATTAAGAGTGAGAGTTCTGCGATGAGTTAAACTCAAAGCTGCTCCTCAGATAAATAATGTTAAATTATTATTTTTTAATATGAATGTTTCTGTTCAGTGCCCTGAGACGACTTCTGTTGTGACTTGGTGCTAAAATAAACTGGATTAAATCTGATGAACCAGATCCTACAAAAACATCAATATTTAAAATTATATATGTTTCTTCATCATTTGATGCATTTGCACTCGTGTCTACTTTTATTGTTCAATTTAGATATGTGGTTTTGTTTCTTGTATACAGTTTTTTTATTTTAGCTTTGATTTAAAGTGTAATTCTTGTTTTGTGATTTGTTCATCTGTGGGTTAGAATAAAGTTAAACTAAAGGCTGTTTCTCTTCTTTAAACATACTTGAGGGAAATATTCCTGAGAGATCCAATAATTTTGACTTTTTATGATTTTTCAGCTGAGTTAACTTTAATTAACAGATTATTTAATAAGGTCAAAGTGAAAACAGGATTGCACGTTGGCACGTTTATTTATTTTTATTTTTGACTAATTAAAAAAAACTTTTTTTAATACATAAAATGTTTTTAAAAAAATGTTTCCACCCTCCCAGTCCACCCGTCTGCCAGGGCTCGGAATTCGTCCTTTGTGAGCATGCAAGGACGGGGCTCGGGGTCCGGCATCACGGGCTTCAACAGGTCGGCAGCTCGTATGATCCTCCGCGGTGACTCCGCTCGCTCGGATTTTGTCGTCAGTCACCAAACACAAAAAACGCCTGGACTTCAGCATTAAACACGGTGTTGTCATTATTGTTTTTAAAATCTTAAAAATAGATCCAGCCGCTGCTCCGAGTTCCAAGAAATTGCAAATGACGGATCGGTGAAAAATTTCTGAGCTCCAATGACTCCTCCCCCTGACCAATCAATGTCCTGCATTCATGTTTTGGTCCCGATTCAACTCGAACGGTCCTACCAGAGAAGCAGGGACCAAAAAAGATGCCGAATCAGCTAAAAAAATACTGGTGGAATAGGGTTCTTTCCATGGCAAGCTGAGCAGAGTTGGGGCTGAGTAGAAGTGGTGCAAAAGGGTCACAGTGGGCCCACACACCTCCTCGTCCACCAGCACTAGCACATATTCTCAACAAGACTGTGTGCTGTCCCCTGTTCTTTACACTGTACACACAAGACTGTCCTCCCACCCACTACAGCAACACAATCGTCAAACTTGCAGACAACACCAGTGGTGGGCCTTATCTCTGGAGGGTCCGAGACGGTCTACAGAGGAGCAGCTGACGTGGTGCAAAGACAAAACTTGCCCCTGAACACAGCTAAGACCAAGGAGCTTGTTTTGAATTGAAGGAAAAAGGAAACAGACATCGAACCATTTCATGTCCAATGGGACTGCGTGGAGAGGGTGACAGACTTCAGTTTCCTGGGATTCCACATCACGAAGAACCTGACCTGGAGTGTGAACACAGCAGAGCTGGTGAAGAAGGCCCAGCAGACTATTTCCTGAGATACAGGGGAAAATATTTCTCAAAGATTACTGGTGTCCTTCTATCACTGCTCTATTGAGAGCATGCCTCAGAAAAACCACAGACTACTTAAAAGTCATGCAGGTCATGTTATGTTCCGACCAGTTTCATCAAGCAGGAGGTACAGTGCAGAAGCATCAAATCAAGAACAACCAGACTGAAAAAAAGCTTTTATCTTGCATCATCAGGGAGTTAAACGCCACCTAGCTCCTCCAGAGCAATTTATGTGCAATAACCAAGTGCAATAATCTCTTCAGTGCAATAGTGTACTGTGCTGTACGGCTGTTCCTATTATGTTGTAAATTGTTGTTTTTCTCCTTACCTTTATGTAATCTGTAATTCATCTTTTGACACCATAAGAATGACACCTAATTTTGTTGTGCCTTTTACAGTGACATTAAAAATATTCTAATTCTGATTGTAACTGCAAAACTTATAGTTATAAACTTTTGTAATAAAAGCTTAGCTTATAATATGCAGTATTTTCATGGTTTAATTTTTATGATAGTCATCAAAAATAGTAATAAGTTGAAGAGTTCACCATATTCCACATTGTTCCACACAAACACATATTTTGTATTGCTTTTGATGTGGTCACCCTAGTTGTAAAACAGCTACATAATAAAAATAAGACTGTAATACTTTGTGTAGATTAGTGACTAGACTCACCCACAAGCATCAAAGATACACCAGTCATAATACTGCTGGAAGGGCACCTCAGTGTGGCATAATGAAAAGAGTTCCTGTGTTAGCACAGCACACTTTTTCCTTGCCCATGTCACTCTGTGTGAGTTTAGCTGAAAAGGCAAAGTTTGAACACTGAGAATTTGAGAGCATCTATGATCAGCAGTCATTTGTGCCCAAATATATATAAATAAATACATGTATCGGTATGTCTGTGAACTTACAACACATGGATCACGAAGGTCTTGGTTTTCTACATCAGGGCAGGAAGGGCTGATCTTCCAAGAATTTCCAAACAGTTCAGGTGTTGATTCTACAATTCCCTGCCGTGTTGTAAAGTCATTTTCTGTGTCCCCATCAAAGTTCCCGCACAGCCCTCCAACTCGACCTCGCAGGTGTACCTCCAAACGCAAATACACACGCATGCCTGGGAAAAGAACAAATCACTGTAAGTAACCTTGACTGTAGCGTTTCTAAAACGTTCTAACTATACAGTGATAAACACTATGAACATATTTGGAAATTAGTTATATATTTTACCCTGAGGATGTGATGTTTAAACTATACAGAAAAACAAATGGTCTTACCTCCATCCCACAGCACAGTGATTCCAAGTCGAGAAGAGAGGACAACGAAAAGGCCAACTCTCTCCACAGAAAGACCGCTGCCACTATAGGACTTTGGTAGTGTAATGGGCATTCCGTTTACTGTCACTGCTTTACCTAAATGTCATATATGAGACAGTTTACCTCACTTGGCTTTATGGTTTATTTTTGTTGTTGTTGTTGTTTTTTTTTTTTTTTGCTGCTTCCTTCTAGGGGTCACCACAGTGAACTAACTTGCACAAAGACTTGGCAATTGTTTTATCATCGGATGTCCTTCCTGATTCAACTATAGACTTCTGAGCTACCACAACCTTCTATGTGGAACAGAGAGCTGCCATCTAGGGAGCTCAAGGGAGCAGATGGTGGGGGTAAAGGGCCTTGCTCAAGGGCCCAGTCGTGGGTTCACTAGCTGATGGTCCATGAGCTGACCAATCAGAATGTGTTTTGCTATGTGTTTTTAATACTCTGTTACTCCTCAACGGGGAAATTAATTATGTGCATTTTTCCTATCATGGATGTGAGCACACACAAGGGTGGCTGTGGCTGAGTGGTAGAGCAATCGTCCTCCAATGCAAGAGTTGGGGGTTTGATTCTACCAACAGTCACATGCCAAAGTGTCCCTGGGCAAGACACTGAACCTATCATTGCCTCATATGTGTGTCCCATCAGTGTATGAATGTGATAAAGCACTGATTTGTGTCTACAGATTCAGAATAGCTATGTAGAGATCTAGTAGAGTGCTGTGTGAATGGGTAAATGACAGCACAGATTGTGTTGTAAAGCGCTTTGCGTATTATGATAAGATAGAAAAGCGCTATATAAGTGCAGTCCATTTATACATTTGCAGTCCATTTATACATTTGGAGCCAAGGGCTACCATCTGTGACGCATGGGGAGCAGATTATTGGGGTTAAGGGCTTAGCTCAAGAGCCCTAAGTACAGCACAGGTTGAAAGACATGGAAGATAAAATTAGAGAGTCCAGACTAAAAAGGTTTGAACATCTGCAGAGCACGGACAGTGGGTATATTGGTAGAAGGATGTTAGAAATGCAACTATCAGGAAAAAGACAATGAAGAAGGCCAAAGTAGATGGATGCAGTTAGAGAGGGTATGGAGGTAGTTGGAGTGAGGACAGAGGATGTGGATAAAAAAGTTAAATGGAGGAGGATGACTCAATGTGACAACCTCTGATAAGGGAACAGCCAACAGAAAAAATAGAAGAACATCTAAACTACTTTTGTACTTTTAGTTATCTATTTCCATCCATCCATCCATTATCTTTACCCACTTCTTCCTTTTCAGGTCGTGGGGGTCACTGGTGCCAATGTCCAGCAGTTACTGTGCGAGAGGCGGGGGACACCCTGCACAGGTCTCCAGTCCATCACAGGGCCCCATAGAGACAAACGAGACAAACCATTCACTCTTTCACTCACACCTAGAGACATTTTAGAGTTACCAATCAGCCTAGCATGCATGTTTTTTGGTCTGTGGGAGAAAACTGGAGTACCCAGAGAATTCCCACGCACGCAGAAAGAGAACATGCGAACTCCACCCAGAAAGGCCCCCGGCTGGGATTTGAACCTGGGCAGCCTGCTTGCTAAGACGCAGCAACTCTACCAACTGTGCTACCGTGCTGCCCAAGTTATCTATTGATTTAATAAAAACTGTATTGTATATTTACAGAAACATTCTTCAGAAATCCTTAGAAGTGATGTAATTAAACTTTTAGAGATAAAAAATAAACACGATTAGGCATGCTCATATTTCTGCATATAATAGTCATGGTTCTGCAGAAAAGTCTGTTTTCAGTTAGTCATTATGGGGTCTTGAGTGTAGATTAATGTGAAAAAAAAAAACCAGTTGTTGCATTAGGCAGCTAAATAACAAAATAGCAAAAAGTGAAGGGGTCTGAATATTTTCTGAAGGCACTATAAATCCAAGACATTTTATCTCCAACCAGCTATTAACTATTCATATCATCCCCAAATACACCACCTGTAATTCTTACCTCTTAGCAGGTGTATGACAGTCTTTCCCAGGCTGAGGGTGACTGACTTGGTGCAGGTGACGCCAGTGCTTCCGCATGGCACATTCTCTGCCGTAACGCTGAACAAACCACTGGTCTCCCTTGTTAGCACATACTGACAGTCGCCAAGAAAAGAATAGATGCGGCCATCATATGTCACATAGTGTGGATCACCAGTTGCAACACATACTCCAGCACAAATAGATTGGGTACAGTGCCAGCGACGCTTCCTACACACACTAAAAACAAAAAAAAAACAGTAAACATTGCTGTTTAGCTTTGAAATTTACATTTTAAATGATACAAACAAAAGGAAGTGTATAATACCATGTGTTGCAGTCTTTTGTGATGGTGTCATTACTGTAATAAATCTGACCGTTATGGTGACATGGGCACTCATCTGGCAGAACACATAGATCCCCCTAAATTTAGAAAAAAATACAATATAGTGTTATCATTACAGAGTTACGAATAGGAAAACAACTGTGGAATTTATACGAATAAATAAATAAAATATTTATCACCACAAATAATGGCAGATGGTGTTGATATAGATTTGGGGCAAACAAAACAATTAATATTTGTAATTTCTCAATAGGGCAGCACAATGGCTCAGTTGGTCAAACTTTTGCCTCTCAGCGAGAAAGGTGTCAGTTCAAATCCCAGCCGTGGGCCTTTCTGGGCGGAGTTTGCATGTTCTCTCTGTGCATGTGTGGATTTTCTCCAGGTTTTTTGGTTTCCTCCCACATAACAAAAACATGTATGATAGACTGATTGGGAACTCTAAATTGTCTCTAGGTGTGAGTGAGAGAGTGAATGGTTGTTTGTCTCGTTTGTCTTTATGTGTCCCTGTGATGTCCAGGTTGTCTCCTGCCTCTCACACAGTGATGGCTGCAACATTTTTACTAATGTTCATTTAAATTTCACAGAGTAGTATTTCTATATACTCTTTAGTGTGAAGTGCCCACTAGCAAGTTTGCTTTCATTATTTAAATACACACAATTCTGCATTCCGGGAAAAGCAAGCTCATCATACTGCCATGCCCCTGGCCCTAGACTCAGTGTTACATCTGATTTATTTTATGTCTATGTCTGGGTCTCCTTTTTCTGTCCATGGTGATTGTTTCACAGGAATAAGGTTCAGTAGATTAGACTGACTCAATGTCCTTATTTTCAAACCAGCTTTGAATTATGCTGCAGCATCTTGGTTAGCATCAGTAACCTGAAACAGTTCCAGCTGCATTTCCTGTCAGGTAAGACGTCAAATAAGTGAACTTTTCTCTTTTACAAAGGGCTTCATTATTATGGATAGCTTTTACTTACTGGGCCCAGAACTCTTGCCTCTGCTTATTTCTCCACTTATTCTATTCTATAACAAGCTTCGGCAGTTTAAAAGTCTGAGCATAAGTGATCTGAATGAGAGTTTCAGCCAGTAGATTTTTAAACTGGAAACAGGAAAAGACATCAAGAATAACTCCAAAATCAAAGATTTAAAGCCTTTCTTATATGTGAACCAACTCTTTTTATGTTGGCGGCAGATTGCAACATTTAGTTGAGTTTTACTGAGGTTCAGAAAAGAGCACCCATGGGCAGGTATCAGCAAACCACAGATTTACAGAGTTACAGGTTCAGTTGTGTCATGAGAGAGGGATGCATTCAGGGATGAAGGACATGCTGGTTAAAATGAGAGATATTATGTTTGTTTTTTTAACAGAGAGAGAGTGATTGTCAAATGTGGGATGTCGCAGTGTTTCATTCGTATGAAGCTGAAAGTGAGACCAGTCCAGCACTGTAACCCAGAGACAGGTGCAGAGTCACCATTTGAGGTCACGGGGGTCGATTTCACAGAACTTTGTGATGTGCTTTGGTCAAAATATTGTCACCTTATTATCCTTTATCATTTGTGTTGTTCAATTTGTTCATTTTTGATGTTGATTCTTAACTTGATAAACTTTTTGTAATGAAACGTCAAAGACAATTTTGGTCACCTCATTTGGATGAAAATTATTTTTTTATGGTCTAAAACTCCCTGTAATTAACGGATTCTACTTCAATGACTGAGTTCTGGTTATTAAAGGGTGAATATATTATTTAAGTTGTTGCTGGTCAGTAAACTGACTGGCTGATGCCATGCTTTAACGAGTGCAAAACAAATAATAAAACTCTAGTAAAGTAAGGAGTAATTGTCACCCTTCTTCCTCCATACTATATGTTACACCATGTAACATATACCTAATTGTTTTCGGTCCCACTAGCTCAAACTATATTTAACAGTTAAAATGGGAATATCTTAGGTTTTATCAGTTACCGTATTTTTCGGCCTTTAAGTTACAGTTTTTTGCATAATTTACATGCCTTGCGACTTATAGGCCAAAGCTACATATTTATGGATTTTTTTTTCCATATTTATAAACAATTTTTTGGTTAAGATATGACGGTTTTCATTTATTCTGACTGAAAAAAAAAAAGAATAGTACCACTTTCAGCCACTTGATGGCAGCAGAGTAATTTAACAGAATGGCATGCTGTTGTATCATGTAATAGGTAAACATGGCTATAATGACAAGTTCAAAAAAGTTCAAGACATAAACAACTGGACTTTATTTATTATACTATACTTTATATTTTATTGTTTTTGTCTTGAACTTTTTTTAATTTTGTCATGAACCAGAGGCCGGATCGCAAACAACAACAACAACCACTGA